AGCTCCATGTTTCCTTTCCTTTTGCTCCCGCCCTCACGCCCTCCCTCCCTTCTTTTTATGTTTTTGAGGCAGAGTCTCTCTCTGTCACCCAGGCTGGAGTGCAGTAGCACTATCACAGCTCATTGCAACCTCAAACTGCTATGCTCAGATGATCCTTCCACCTCAGCCTCCCAAGTAGCTGGGAATACCGATGTGCACCACCACACTTGCTAAATTTTAAAAAAAATTTTGTAGAGACAAGGTCTTGCTACGTTGGCCAGGTTGGTCTTGAACTCCTGGGCTCAAGTGATCCTCCCACCTTGGCCTCCAAAGTGCTGGGATTACAGTTGTGAGCTACCACGCCTGGCCCCATGTTTCTTTTATTTTCTTTTCTTTTCTTTTGAACTGGAGTCTCACTCTGTTGCCCAGGCTGGAGTGCAGTGACACACTCACAGTCACCCCAGTGTAGACCTTCTGGGCTCCATAATCCTTCTGCCTCAGACTTCCAAGTAGTTGGAACTACAGGTAAGCGCAACCACACCTGGCTAATTTTTTGATATATTGTAGAGATGAGGTTTCACCAAGTTTACCCAGGCTGGTCTTGAACTCACGGACTCAGGCAATCCACTCGCCTCGGCCTTCCAAAGTGTTGGGATTACAGTCTGAGCCACTGAGCCTGGCCAGCCCCAAGTTGCTTAATCTCTCTGGGTTCATTCCTGTCTGTCTGTATACACACACCTCAATAATCTATGTGCTGCAAACTAAACCAGCAAGTTTTGGGGGTTTTTTTTGAGACAAGGTCTTGTTCTGTTGCCCAGGCTGGAGTGTAGTGGTCCTAACTCCTAGGCTCAAGTAACCTTCCCACCTCAGCCTCCTGAGTATTTGGGACTACATGCATGTGCCACCATACCCAGTTAATTTTTCATTTTGGTAGAGGTAGGGTCTTGCTATGTTGTCCAGGCTGGTCTTGAATGCCTGGCTTCAAGTAATTCTCCTGCCTCGGCCTCCCAAAGTGCTAGGATTATGGTGTGAGTCACCACATCCAGCTGAGTCATGACCATGTAAGATATTCTATGAAGAGGAAGGAGTCCCCTCCACTTTTGAATATGACTTACCTAGAACCATCTCTGAAGCAACAGACTCTTCAGCCAGGTTCCCAGATGGGCTGGGCAAAATGTCATCATCAAAACTGATGAGATCGATGTCTTCCAGGGGCTTGCTTTGCAGGACAGAAACTGGGGGGTTGGCTGGGGGTCCTTCTCCCAGGGACTTGAATGCTTTGGCTTGTGACGCCACTGAGAGTCGGGGAGGAACAGTGACTGGTTTCAATGGAGCTGAGGGGTGGGCAGGGTTTTCCAAGGAAACTGATTTCTTGGGCAGCAGAGGCCGAGGTGCGGGGGTTGGGGCTTTTTTCCCACCTTGAGGGTTCTCCGTCAGGGGCCCTCCTCCCAGAATCTCGTGATTCCCACTTCGTATAAGGCCAGGGTTTGGTTTCTTTGGCAATTCGGGTTTGGTTACTGGGATGCTTCCTGCTTCTTGCAGTGGAGGATACAGCATGAGCCCTTCCCTGGAGGTCACCTTGAGTCTGTTCTCTGTCCCAGAATCCCATTCTCCAGAAGCTCTGTTAGCAGTTGGTTTGGGAGCCACTGAGGGTTTCCCTGAGGAAACAGTAGGCTTCGGGGGAAGTGTACGGGGAGTAATTTCTGGTCTCTTGGGCAGTCCTGAGGTTTCTGTGTTTGTCTGGCCCTCAAATGCTTTGATCCTGGAAACAACACTATTTTGGCTTTGCTCTGTGTTCATAATGTTCATTACTGCCTGCCTATCTGAGTCACTGGGACTGTCCAACAGGGGCGGGGGCCGTCCTGGGGAGGACTCCTCTGCTGTGGCCACGGGGCTGATCTTCTGGTGACTTTGCCCTTTAGTGTGAGTATCTCTGGCTACTGGTCTGAGAATGCTTTTGGATCTTGGTTTTGGCACTGGACATCTTGCAGCACAGGGGTTTTCTGGACAATTCTGCTCTTCAGAAACATCAAAGACAATTAAAGGTTCCACATTGGTTGGAAGATTGCCAAATGAGACAGTTGGGGAAGGCTGAAGAGGCTTGAGAGGTGCCTGAAGTGCTGACAAGACCAAAATGAAGGAAAAGAAAGTTGCAATGTTACAATTTTTAAAAAATATTAAGGCCGGGTCTCACTTTGTTGTCCAGGCTAGAGTGCAGTGGCACATCACAGCTCACTGCAGCCTTGACCTCCTGGGCTCAGGCAATCCTTCTGCCTCAGTCTCCCAAGTAGCTGAGACTACAGGCACATGCCACCACGCCCAGCTAATTTTACTGATTTTTTGTAGAGACAAGATCTTGCTGTGTTGCCCAGGTTGGTCCCAAACTCCCAGCCTCAAGCAATCCTCCCACCTCAGCCTCCCAAAGTGCTGGGATTATAGACGTGAGTCGCCGTGCCTGGCTTCAGTGTTACAATTAATATACATATAGAAGATTCACAGATAAAAAAATATACAAGAAATATCAAGAGACCTGCTTTTCTTAATTAGTAAAATGTGATCTCCAAATCACTGGGGAAATGTTTATACTCAGGTTCCTGCAGGAGTGTTCTTCAAGTTATATTAGCTCATACAACAGATATTCATTATACATTTTAAACACCATTAAATTCCTGATTCTCATGAGACATCACAAAAACCATTTCTTTCTGGTTGTCAAAATTTCAATATTTCTTCTTTTTTTTTTTTGAGTCAGAGCCTCACTCTGTTGCCAGGCTGGAGTGCAGTGACATGCTCACAGCCACTGCAGCCTCGATCTGCTGGGCTCAGGCAGTCTTTCTACCTCAGTCTTCCAAGAAGCTGTAACTACAGGTATGTGCCACTATGTCTGGCTAATTTTTGTTTTATTGTAAAGATGAGGTCTTGTCAAGTTGCCCAGACTGGTCTCAAACCCTGGACTCAGGCAATCCTCTTGCCTCTGCCTCCTAAAGTGCTGGGATTACAGGCATGAGCCACTGCGCCCATCAAAACTTCAACATTTCTAATGCTTTACTCTTCTAAAGCAACTTTCTCTTTTCTTTAATATCATACTTTGAAAAAGTCTAACAGGTCAATCACCCTTAGCACCTTGAGAAGTTTAAGTTGTTAAATATAATATCCTTCTCAATGAGAATAATGGGCATCAGCAAAAACACATGAGTTAAATGGATGATGTTTTTGTGATATAAACTAGGAAAAGCCAAGAGGTTGGGGCTCATATGAATGATCTATTTTAATAATCACTGCATACCCAAAGCAAGCAAGCATATGGTGATCACACTGACTGGGAAGTAGAGCTCAACGAATTATGCACATATTACAAATTATTTTAAAGGCTGAAAGCCTACTGATTACTTCCCTAGAATGAGGTCAGAATTAGGGAAGACAAACTACTCGCATTACTTTGAGGCAGATCGTTGTCTATTTCTTCTGAAAAGTCGGTCTGAGTTGCAGAAGTAATAGTGTGCCTTGGAGTGGCAGCAGCATTATTATTATTTGTAGTATTAACTTGAACTTGGTTGATTTCTTTTATGACTTGTTCGTAAGACGGTGGGAGCTGCAAATCAGAGAATGAAGATTTTAGACATCTGTGGGCAATAACCAAGGTGTTCACAGTCTCACTGTTCTTGTCTTAAAAATACAATGCAAAGAAGTAACGTGACATTTACTCACCTCAGCAGGAACCAGCTCATTAGTCCTCCAAGCACCTGCTCCAGATGAAGGGGGAAAGCCCAGCCCTGGGGGAGGGGTTCCCGGAAACCATGAGACTGGCCTCAATGGCTCCGCTGCCACAATGGTGATCTCCGGGCGCCTGGTGGACAGAAACCTTGGTGAAGTTGTACAGGCTGGTAACAAGCAACTGTCTATCGGCAAATGTTCAAAGACTCATGAAAACCACCACCACCCATAAAGTTACAACAACGACCAGAGTCACAGAAATGACCTATCCGGCATGGGCCATCTTGGACAGTACACCTAGACACACTTTAAGGGAGCAAATGACAGTTGTTCTCTACGACTTTGGTCTCAAAAAATTAGAGATGTGGCTGGGCACAGTGGTTCGAGCCTGTGATCCCAGCACTTTAGAGGCCAAGATACAAGGAGTGCTTGAGCCCAGGAGTTTGAGACCAGCCTGGGTAACACAGTAAGCCCTTGTCTGTGTGTGCGTGTATATGTGTAAATTAGCTGGCATGGTGGTGCACACCTGTAGTCCCAGCTACTTGAAAGGTTGAGGTGGAAGGACCATCGGAGCCCAGGAGGTTGAGGCTGTGGTAAGCTGTGATCTCACCACTGCACTCTAGACTGAGTAACAGAGTGAGAGCCCGACTCAAAAGAGAAAAAAAAAAGTTAGAGATGTCCCCTGAGCACACCTGGCTCTGCCTTAGTTGACCAGGATAAAAACTAAGGCCCAAACAATGTCTTCATTCCAAACAATGTCTTCATTGTCCTGTTGCTATGACAGCCCACAGGACAAACATATGTAAGGTAGACACACTGGTCAAATGGAGCTGTTTGATTTTCTGTTATTACAAAGCATATACTCTGAAATGTACTTTACCATATAAAAAGAGTATCCTTTTCCTCACCACTCCATCTCTGTTCCAGTTCAAAGTTCTCTGTGTTGACATGTTCACTTATAGGCCCTGACATGTGTCTGTGTTTCTGGTCACTTTTGTTACATGACTTAATGATAAATTTTTAATACTGAGGAGCCATAGTGATTTAGGCCTAGCTTCTTTAATCCTTTTCTTTCTTTCCTTTTTCCTTTTTTTTTTTTTGAGTCAGAGTCTCACTCTGTTGCCCAGGCTAGAGTGCAGTGGCACACCACAGCCTCAACCTGCTGGGCTTAGGCAATCCTTTTGCCTTAGCCGCCTATGTAGCTGGGACTACAGGCACGTGCTACCACAGCCAGCTAATTTTTTAAAAAATTTTTTGTAGAGACAAGGTCTCACTTATGCTGCCCAGGTTGGCCTCAAACTGCTGGGCTCAAGCAATCCTCACGTCTGCTGGGTTTGCAGACATGAGCCTCAGTGCTTGGGCCTTTCATCCTTTTCTTAATCTGATTCTACATTCTCAAGCTTAATATATTTTATCTTCAGGCTGATTTCCTAACAAACATCAACTGTGTGACTCTGAGTAAATCAATCAGTATCTCTGAGCCTCAGTTTTCTCTTCTCACAAATATGGTTGATAATGCCTGTTCCTCCTTTCTCTAGTATTCGATGGAAAACAAATTTTAAAAAAACACTGTCATTATCAAAATTGTGCATTACACATACTGTGATGCTTGACTGTGAAATAGCAAAAGCTTATCATTGATTAAATTTGAATCGAATTCCCTAAGAACCACTGTGTGTAGCTTTTGTCTAACCAAACACTAAGACTCACTAGTTAATAAATGTTAAGCACCATATGTACATGAATTCTGATGGCACCCTTGTGATACAGGTATGAATAGGACCGTTTTAAAGATGGAGATACAGAAGCTAAAGAGATTAAGTGGCTTGGGAAGGTTACATGGTGAAAAAGTAATGAAGTCAGAATTTGAACTGGGTTCTAACTCTAAAGTCCTTGTTCTGCATTATTCTATACTCTACAGTACTGTAAGAAATATGAAAGCAGGGACCATGACTTATAAAAATCTATCCATTTGACTGAATGTCATGATTGTGTTTTTTGTTTTTTGTTTTGAGTTGGAGTCTCACTCTGTCGCCCAGACTGGAGTGCAGTGGCCGCTCCCGGCCACCGCAGCCTTGACCTGCTGGGCTCCGGCGATCCTTCCGCCTCAGCCTTCCGAGTAGCCAGAATTACAGGCATGCGCTACCACGCCTGGCTGATTTTTTGATTTATTGTCGAGATGAGGTCTCGCTGTCCAGGTGGGTCTCGAACCCGCGGGCTCAGGCAATCCACTCACCTCAGCCTCCCAAAGGCGCGGGATTACAGGCTGAGCCACCGAGCCCGGCTGAATGTCATGATATTATAAAAAAAAGTCTATCTATTATCCACCTGCCCACCCTTCCATCCTCCTATTTGTCCATCCACCCTTCCATTCATTCTATCATCTTATCTGTCTGTTCACTGGTCCTTCTTTCCATCTGCCCAGCTATTACCCCGCCTCCCTTCTTTCTTCCCTTCCTTTTCCCAACCAGCCACCAAGCATTTATTCCTTCCAGCTATCTCTCCTCCCTGCCTTTTTTCCTTTCTTTTTCCTTCTATCCAATTTTCGACACTGTCATCTATTAATTTATCTAGGCAACATTTACTAAGTAGTTATGAGGTATGCAGCATTTCTTTGAAGCAGTTATAACAAGGCTTTACATGTAGCAGTGGTTTAATAAACATTTGAAAATAAACTTCACTAAATAATTACAATCAAAAGAACAGTTCAGGCTTGTATCACTTCTCTCAGGCAAAATCTTCATCTTTCAAACTTACAGATTAATTCAAGAGCTGCACTGATGAGGCAGAACACAGTAATACATTAATGACAAAAAAGAAATATTTAACTTGCTAACTGACGATATGTTTTTATTTCAATTATTGGGATATATACCATCTACTCTAAATATAACCATACCTCCTATCTCGATGAAGTTCACTCTGAATAGAATTCCGAGAAGCTGTGGAAGAAAGAGTAAATTGGTATAGTCAAAATTAGTACATTCAGCAAAGGTTTACATTTTTAAAGTACACTATTGGAAAAAGTTAGCTTATAATTGTCATCCTATAGAATGGATGAATTTTAAAATTCCTACATAGAAAAGTAAATAAAAAATGATCTCTTTACTGGCACAAAGTTAATTATAGTTATATACTTAAATTGCATAAGAAAACAAATTTCAAAAACTCCCCAAAGCACATTCTGTGATTTTGAAAATAATTTGAAGAATGAAGAGCAAAAAGAAGACAGCTATTAAATACAAAATTGCACAGAAGGAGCATAAAGATGATGACATGAAATAACCACGGGCAGAAAAAATTTTAAATATGAACTCCAATCCATGTGACTCTGTGCTTGTGATGTTTGTTTATACTTCTACTGTAAAGAAAGTGAAAATGGACAGAATTTCATCTGTTTGCTAACTTCTCTGAAATGTTATAACCTTTAAGTTGTTTATGACTTAAATTAAGCGATAATAATAAATGAAAAGGTGTTCAAATCACATTTATAGCACATATTATTGTATATGTAGCATTGACTTTTTCCTTAAGGTTCAAGCTGAAGAAGCTTGATGGTTTACAGTTTTTCCGAATTTTATTTTATCAAGCAAATCAAGTCTTAATCGAACAATCTGGAAAATATGTCACATGTGGGGTCAATTTTTATGTAATAGAGGATGTTATATTTATTTTCAAGGAGCACATTCTAAAGACCCCTTTGAAAAAATAAATCTTCATATACTACACTGTAAAGACTTGTGCACAAAGGGAATTTGTTTTAGATTAAAACTGTATCAGCCATCTGCTTTCACATCTCTCCAATGCTCCACTTTTCCATAATCTTTTTTCCTCCCTCCAATTAACGTCTACTTCTCTCTGATCAGGAAGGGCTGCCAGAGCTGGGGAGGCGCGGGTGGAGCTGAGAGGTGGGGACGGGTGGCGAAGCAAACCTCTAACATCTGAATCCCAAACCCCTGGATCTTGCCTTGGAGAGTGTCCTACTCAGATCATCAGCTGGTTTGACTATTAAATTTTCATCAAGAGCTAAAGCAAGCTGATGGAGGGCTGGGGCTCTGCATGGTGTGTCTGATTGGTAAGAACGGTTTCATTAAGTCAGAGGCTCACCCGAGTGGGCGACAATCACAGCATCACGACCACTAAAGGCTGGAATCAGAAGACATAGCGCTTTTTAAAGACTTCACATTATTGTCACACACATACCTCTTCCACGGGGCATTTTTGCCGTGTACTATTCATGAGTGCTAAGGGAAAAAAAGAAGGGGTTACAGAAGAGGAAAGGAAGAGAGAAGAGTGAACCCAGCTGCCTAAGCTTCAACAGGCATTCAGGAGCAGGGCTGTCTCGCCATGCCATTCATTTTCCCTACTCTGCACCTTGCATGAATAAGAAAAGCCGATGAACCATAGTTTCAGAGCGTAAAGAAATATATTGCTGCCAAGATTTGCCTGTAGAGACCAGGACATCCGCACACATAACCACAGTAAAGAAAAATCTACCTGTCGTTTATTAATAACAGTGTAAAAAAAAAATCTAAAAACCATTTTGCAAAATCAATTTGCTACTTCGACAGGGCTCGATTTTAAAGTATGAATAATGCTTAAGAGGTAATTCAGTAGTTGAGTTACGTTGTTTTAAATCAGTGGCTTTGAACATGATACTGCCCCTTCACACCAGAGTATCAGGAACCAGCTCCCAGCAGTACTGGCACTCTCCATGCCGCAGAACGAGGAGGGGGCCTCAGTGGCACCCACACACCTCCTTCTCTTCCTCCACAGCCTCTGGAAACACTGCTCTTCCCCCCTCTTTTTCTGATCCCCAACCCACATTCACACATCTTCTATGGAATCTCTTTCTCTCTCGATCCTCCTCAAATGACTGACGCTTTTTGTCAGTGCTGAACAAGTTTGAGATCTGGAAACACTTTAGACTTTCACGTGGTGTCCTAAGCTCTTCTTGCTAATTTCTCAACTATCCATTGCACACCTCCTTCTCACCTTCCCAGACTATACAGATCTGCTGCGGTTGTTGCCAGGGCAATCAAATTTGCCACCAACGTCCATACAGACTAGCATGCCCCATTTAACCTTTCTGGCACAAGCTGGTATTTTCTTGTACATTTTGGGTTACTACCACAGAATAAAAGCAGTATTTTCTTTTTTCTTTCTTTCTTTCTTTTTTTTTTTTTTGAGTCAGAGTCTCACTCTGTCGCCCAAGCTATAGTGCAGTGGCACGCTGCTCACGGCCACCTCAGTCTCTCGATTCGCTGGGCTCCGGCAATCCTTCCGCCTCAGCCTTCCAAGTAGCTGGAACCACAAGTGCGTGACACCAAACCCAGCTAATTTTTTCATTTATTGTAGAGACGAGGTCTTCCCAAGTTGTCCAGTCTGGTCTCGAACTAGTGAGCTCAGGCAATCCTCTCACCTCGGCTTCCCAAAGTGCTGGGATTACAAGCGTGAGCCACTGTGCCTGGTTAAAAGCAGTATTTTCCATTGATGTGATCCTATCATTTACAGAACTATTTTCTTTCTTTCTTAAAAAAATGTAAGTAGAGAGTTTATTTGAGCCATGCTTGAGGACTGCCAACCTGGGAGCATAGATTCAAGTTGCTTTGAATAGACACTCTCTATGGGACTATTTGCAAACTTTTCTAGTTCAAGTGGTTAAATTCTAAGTATAAACCATATTCACATTAGGTTATTTATAAAAGAGTTAGGATGTGGATTTACAATATTATCGCGAATAAACAATCTCCCTAAGCTCTGGCAGGACCATAAGCTTGGGAGATGTTCACTGATCATCTTACTCAAACTTCACAGTGGAGGAAACTGAGATACAGAGAGGTTAACTAAACTGTCCTGGCTCCAACAGCTAATTAGCAACAAGGATAGGCACAGTTTGTTTCTTAAAGCAATTTAACTCCAATTTAAAGCCAGGAGAGCAGCATGCTAGTCCTGAATCTAAATAATTCAAAATTATTGGTTAAAAGATAATCAGGGCTGAGTGTATTAGCTCACACCTGTAATCCTAGCACTTTGGAAGGCCAAGGCAGGAAAACTGCTTGTGCCCAGGAGTTCAAGACCAGCCTGAGAAACATAGCAAGACCTTCTCTCTACAAAAATCAAACAATGAGCCAAGTGTGGTGGTGCACACCCGTAGTCCCAGCTACTTGGGAGGCTGAGGTGGAAGGATTGCCCTAGTCCAGGAAGTCAAGGATGCAATGAGCTGTGATCATGCCACTGCACTCCAGCCTGGGCAACAGAGTGAGACCTAGACTCAAAATAATAGAATAGAATAGAATAGAGTAGAATAGAGTAGAATAGAATAGAATAGAATAGAATAGAATAGAATACACTCTGCATGGTAGGTGTTAACCGCATCTTGCAAATGGTAGGGAAACTGAGTCTCACAGAGGCTAGATGTCTTCTCAAGGGAGAGCTGGGATATCAACCCAGGCTTCCTGACTTCAAGGCCATCAAGCCTTCCACTCCACAGACGCACCTTAAATCCATCTGGCTTATAACCTGTTCCACACAAATGTAGTAGCTCAAGCCCAGGAGTTCGAGACCAGCCTGCCTCGGCTCCCCAGAGTGCTGATGTTATAGGCATAAGCCACCGTGCCTGGCCCAGAGTGTTCTTTTGTAATGTGTGTGAACAACTGGCAACTTACGGGTAGATAATCAATATTAACTAAATCTGAATTTCAGAAAATAATTTTTTCTTCAAAAATAATGAAAAGCAGAACATAAAATTTTAGATATATCCGATTAGGACCCTTCAAAACACTTTACCAAAAATATAGGACTCACAAGAATGAATGCAATAAAAGGACCCCAAAGTTTGGCTGGAACCAGAATCATTAGGAAGTAACTTGAAATACAACCAGTTAGGGAGCATCACTTCGAAAACGGGTTAGAGTCATTTCCTTGCCAGGATTAGATGTCTGAGTCTGGAAGAGGAAAGCACACATCTTAATGGGCTGGCCAACATTAAAACTACTGATAGCTTTTTCTCATAGAATAAGCAAAAAAAGAAAAAGAAAAGGGCCGGACACAATGATTCCTCATACTGTATTTACATGGCATCAGGAAAGGGTCTCTCTGGCCTTCTTGCCTAAACATCAGGAATAAATACAAATAAGTATTTCCTTAGCATTTACAAAGTGACTGACAGGATTAAAAGACGATGGGTGAGTTTAAAAAACACAAAATGCCAGTTATCTCCCAGCAAGGGCTTTCCCTTGGTTCAGCCTCCTCTGTCCTCTCTCTAGGCTGTTTCACCAGCTTCCTCCTTCCTCAAGCTCCAGGCTGACCTCTCCACCGACTGCCTTCCCGCAGCTTACACGTCTTCAAGCTTCCTCATCCCAACAGTCTGTGAACACATCTCCTCTTCTCTGGACTCTGCTCCATTCTAGAATGACAGCTGCTATCTCCCCTGTTGACCACCAAATTTCACAGACGTGTGGGTGACCCCAGCTGTCCTGACTTGCACATATTCCATTCGTTGCTAACACTGAAGATTGGATTCCACCTTCGATGCTCTACTGAAACTGCTCTCTTGAAGTTCTCTATGGCTTTCTAAGAGCCTCATAGAAAGACCTATTCTCAGCACCTTCTGCTTGGCCTTGTTGCCGTGTTAAGAGCTACTGGGGGTTCACCTATTCCTTTCAAAACCATCTCCTCTTTTCAGCCTCTAAAACACAGCTGTCTTCTGGTGTTTTCTATTACTCTGACCATTCTTTGTCTCCTTTGCTTTCTTTCCCCTCCCTGGTATAGGGGCTTCAGGGTAAGCAAGAGCATCCTGAAGGACCTATGGGAAGTTCGGCACCGGTTGCAATCCCTACCAAAGAAGTCCCGAACAGAGGCAGGAGCCAGCAGATGTGACTCAGTGAAAAGTGGACCTTCTCAACAGGGATGGGTTAACTAGGTCATGCGTCTTTTTTTTTTTTTTTTTGAGTCAGGTCTCACTCTGTCACCTAGGCTGGAGTACAGTGGCATGATCATGGCTCACCGCAGCCTCAACCTCCTGGGCTCAGGCAATATTTATGACTCAGCCTCTTAAGTAGCTGAGACTATAGGCGTGCATCACCATGCTCAGTTAATTTTTTGATTTTTCGTAGAGACGAGAACTTGCTATGTTGCCTAGGCTGGTCTCAAACTGGGCCCAAGCAATCCTCCTGCCTTGGCCTCCCCAAGTGCTGGGATTACAGGCATGACCTACCGTGCCCGGTCATGTCTTGCATCTTTTTGCCTTACCACCCGTTTTAGACATAGGTTGGCCATAGACATCAATGTTTTCCAAGATTCTGTTTCTTGTCATCTTTTCTGTCCGGTATACTTTCTCCCTAAATGTTTGGCTACTTCCAGGATTTTCCGTTTCCTTGATTAACCCAGGTTATACCTCCAACCAAGAAATCCTTGCCTAAATTCTAGACTCTAATTGTGTATTTAAATTCTCTCCCTCCCCTTGCCCTCACTCCGACGGTTGTAAGGCTTGAAAAGCTATCATGAAATTCTCCCTTTTAATTTGAATTCTTTTCATCATACACCATGGTGTTCCCACATCTTTATAACTCACCAGTAAAATGCAGTGGGGAAACACGGCATATTTTTCTGTATGTATTTTACCTTGTAAAATTTCCCTGGGGAATGGTTCAAATCCAAGTTCCTCATGACCTGTGAATGCCCTAAATTTGCACTAAATATTACAAATTATGTTTCTAAAACTAGGCTACATTCTTCTACAGGTGGCAACCTCAGCTCAAATAATGCGAAGAACATCTAAAATCCTGTCTTTTTCCTTTTCTGTAACAGGTAGCCCATGTTCTATTTTTAAATAGAGACCTTTCCAGAGCCTTTTATTTAAAAAGAGTGTTCAAATACCGTACCAAGAGCAAGTTTTGAAGTTTTAACCAAAAGATAAAGATAGAAAGTATGAATGTGCCATTTTGGTGAGAATTCTACACAAAGTACTTCTGTCTTGTACGTATGTAAGCCTGTCTTCAGAGGCATTTACACAGTTTTTAAAAACATTGTAAAGAGAACTCGTGGAAGCAAATGAACCAAAAAGAACAGAGTTTAATATTTCTTAAACCTGTAAGATGTCTCCAACCACAGAAACCAACTAGACAGCCAGATTTTTAAAAAACAGCTTTGTTCTCTAAGAGAAAAACACTGAGAAACTGACTAATCAAATCAGCTGTTTGTCTGAAATGCTTTATTATTTCTTAGGAGAAGCTATTCTTGTTGAGTTCTTTATAGATTCATCAAATACAATCACTTGCTGGAAATCTAAATCATCATTTAAAATAATTACAGAGGAAAATACAGAGCAGGAAAAACAAACTTACATCTCTTGATTACTGCTCTAATGGATGACAAGGGTCCTTGGCTAGAAAAAGAAAGAAAAAACATGTTATACAGTCATTAATCCTTTTGAAGAAGAATCATTCATAATGCCTGGACATTTGTGGCACTCAGTATGGTGCCAAGCAGCAAGCTAGATATGTTAGTTACTGGCCTGCCCTCTTTATAAAACAAAAACTAAATTAAAAAAAATTTTTGTTTTTGGGTAGGAGTCTCACTCGGTCGCTCAGACTGGAGTGCAGTGGCATGCTCATGACCACTGTAGCCTTGACCTGCTGGGCTCAGGCGATCCACCTCGGCCTTCCAAGTAGCTGAAACTACAGGCATGCAGCACCACATTTGGCTAATTTTTTTTAATTTACTGTAGAGATGAGGTTTCGCCAAATTGCCCAGGCTGGTCTTGAACCCCTGGACTCAGGCAATCCTCTCGCTTCAGCCTCTCAAAGTGCTGGGATTACAGGTTTGAGCCACTATACCTAGCCTATGAAATTTTTTAAATTGCCTTTGATATTTAAGATATTTTATGGGCAGCAAGGAGGTTGGTGACGTATATCTGCAGTGTAAATAAAATTTTGCCTTGCAATTGCTTTCAGAGCTACCTACGTATTGCATCTTCCAGGGGAAATCTGGATACCACTTGCAGCTAAACAGCATTACCTGGTGCTCAAAAGAGCTTTATTCCTTACAGCCCTTTTGTGTTTGACACCGAAATACATAATCTGTATAGTCAATTTGACCTGAGGACAAATGGTATTTTCTTAAGATAAGAATTTAAATTATCATCACCTAAAAATAAAACAATCTTTGGAGCTTCTTCCCTCTCCTGGTACCCCTTAACCCTTCTCTGCTTTCCCTTCCCCCTCCCCTGCTTGTAACCTCCTCCTCCTCTCTTGCCCTCTGCCTTCTACCCTGGGATGATGCAGCAACAAGGCCCTTGCCAGACACCAGTCCATCAGTCCTGGACTCAGTCTCCAGACCCTTGAGCCAAAGCATGTCATTATCAAGTGCCCAGTCTGTGGTATTCTGTAATAGTAGCATGAAATGGACTAAGACAATACTATTCTGTCACACAGGGAAAAAAATTAAGCTCCAGGAGGTCTTTAATACCATGAGGCAAGGATTATAATATAGAGATATAAATGTTTTCAGCAGTACTGATTTTTTATTTTTTATTTTATTTTTTTTGAGTCGGAGTCTCACTCTATTGCCCAGGCTGGAGTGCAGAGGCACACTCATGGCCACCACAGCCTCAACCTACTGGGTTCAGACAATCCTTCCACCTCAGTCTTCCAAGTAGCTGAAACTATAGGTGGGTGCCACCACGTCCGGCTAGTTTTTTTATTTACTGTGAGATGAGGTCTCACCAAGTCACCCAGACTGGTCTCAAACACATGGGCTCAGGCAATCCTCTCATCTTGGCCTCCCAAAGTGCTAGGATTATAGGCATGAGCCACCATACCTAGCCAATACTGATTTTTTTTTTTTAGAAAGAAGTATTTGAAGCCTTTCTGTAAAGTGACTACTTAAAAAAAAAAGAATAAGCATTGGTATAAGCTGAGTATCTTTCATCCAAAATGCTTGCAACCAGAAGTGTTGAGGAGTTTTTGGATTTTGGAAGATATGCATTACATACTTACCAGTTGAGCATTCCTAACCCAAAAAACCCAAATCTGAAATGCTCCAATGGGTATTTCCTTTGAGCATTATGTTGATGCTCAAACAATTCCAAAATCTGAAGTATTTTGGATTTTCTTTTTTTTTTTTTTTGAGTTGGAGTCTCATTCTGTTCCCCAGACTGGAGTGCAGTGGCCGCTCCCAGCCACTGCAGCCTCGACCTTCCGGGCTCTAGCAATCCTTCCGCCTCAGTCTTCCAAGTAGTTGCAACTACAGGCGTGTGCTACCATGCCCAGCTAATTTTTGATTTTATTGTAGAGATGAGGTCTTGCCAAGTTGCCCCGGCGGGTCTCAAACCCCGGGGCTCAGGCAATCCACTCACCTCAGCCTCCCAAAGCGTGGGATTACAGGCTGAGCCACCGAACCCGGCTGCATTTTGGATTTTCAGATTTGGGATGCTTCATCTGTAATATAGAAGACATAACAGCCCTAAAAAGCACACAGGCTGACTGAGGCTTGCAGCAGAAACTTCTTGGTGCAATAGAGGAGAGAATCTGCATGTTAACATTGTGTCTGTTGACTCAGATCCAGTAATTGAAAGAATCAACATCAGCACTTAGAGGCAGGGCTGGAAAAGCCAATGCCCCATGCATGTTCCCAAGCAGGGCAGAGGGTTGTTACTGAGCACATTATAATCCCCTTGCTCATTACCACTGATCTGGGTGGGATGAGGTATTTTATTTTATTTTATTTTATTTTATTTATTTTCTTCAGTCAGAGTCTCATTCTGTTGCCCAGGCTGGAGTACAGTGGCACAATCGGGGCTCACTGCAGCCTCAATCTCCAGGACTCAGGCAATCCTTCTGTCTCAGCCTCCTGAGAGCTGGGACCACAGGGGCGTGCCACCACACCTGGCTAATTTTAAAAATTTTATTTTTGTAGAGATGAGATCTTGTGATGTTGTTTTAGTTGGTCTTGAATGATCCTCCTGTCTTGGCCTCTCAAAGTGCTAGGATTTCAGGTGTGAACCACCACGCCTGGTCATTGTTATTAATTTAAAACACCCCTTGTTATTTTTATGGAGGGGGAAGCTGTATTGATTGGGGTGGAACATGAGAGGTGTCACGGGTTGAACTGTATCCTTCCTCAAAAAGAGATGTGGTAGTCAGACCCCAGGTACCTTAGAACATAACCTGATTTGGAAATAGGGTCATTAAGGATGCAATTAGTTAAGGTAAGGTCATACTGGAGTAGGATGAGCCCCACAACAACATGACTGGTTCCTTAGGAGATGGCCATATGAAGAGCCAAGCCAAGGAACATCGAAGACTGCTGGCAAACCACCAAGAGCTAGGAGGTGGCAAGGAGGAACTCACCTGTGGATTTGGAGAGAGAAGGGCTCTGTTGTGCCTTGACCTTACACTGCCAGACTCCACAACTGTGAGACAATGACCTTCTGTCTTGGTGTTGCTGTAGTTGTTGTTGTTGTTTTGAGTTGGGGTGTCACTCTGTCGCCCAGGTTGGAGTGCAGTGGCACAATTACGGCTACCACAGCCTCAACATGCTGGACTCAGGCAATCCTTCTGCCTTAGTTTTCCAAGTAGCTAGAACTACAAGTGAGCACCTCCATGCTCCTTGATATATTATAGAGACAAGGACTCACCAAGTTGCTCAGCCTGGTCTCAAACCCTTGGGCTCAGGCAATCCTCTCGCCTTTGCCTCCCAAAGTGCTGGAATTACGGGTGTGAGCCACCACTCCTGGCTAATTTTTTATTTATTGTAGAGATGAGGTTTTGCCAAGTTGCACAGGCTGGTCTCAAACCCGCGGGTTCAGACAATCCACTTGCCTTGGCCTCCCAAAGTGCTGGGATTACAGGCTGAGTCATTGAGCCCAGTCTTTTTAATTTTTTTATTGGCAAGATCTCATTTCTACAATAAATAAAAAAATTAGCCGGGCATGGTGGCACATGCCTGTAGTTCCAGCTACTTGGAAGACTGAGTTGGAAGGATTGCTTGAGCCCAGCAGGTAGTGTGCAACTGTAGTTCCAGCTACTTGGAAGGCTGAGGCGGAAGGATTGCTGGAGCCCAGCAGGTCAACACTGGGGTGGCCGTGAGCATGCCACTGCACTCCAGCCTGGGTGACAGAGTGAGACTCTGACTCAAAATAAATAAACAAATAAATAATAAATTTTTTTTGAAGAGATGGAATTTAGCTATGTTGCCCCAGCTGGTCTTGAACTCCTTACCTTTGCCTCCCAAAGTGTGGGATTACAGGTGTCAACTACCATGTCTGGCCTGCACTTTTAAAATAAAACTTATTTCTTGCCTACAATAAAATAAAAGACCTTGACTCGCTGCATTTCAGAAAAAAAGAACCATGTGATTTTTATAAACAATCCTTAGGACACCCCTGATTTGCTTCCCAAAAAGAAAGCCACAAGTATTACAGAATTATCTATGTTTCTATCTTGTGTGTACATTGCACATAATGTGTATCACCCTATATTAACTGCTACGTTAAGACAATACATCATGTAATAGAGAGAAGAAGGTATTAGTAAATAAATTATATTATACCACAGACACAAATATAAAGATATACTGCCATTTTAATAGCATCTAAGTTAATATCACTGTCATAATACATAGGGCCAGATCTGATAAACTGTGGGGGAATGAAAAAAAAGTATAGTTATTTGAAAGTAGTAAAAAAAAAAAAAAAGTCTTACAGTTCTGATAAGCCTCCATATAAAATTTGGAACCAGGTACAGTGGCTCACACCTGTAATCCCAGCAATCTGGGAGGCAGAGGTGAGAGAACTGCTTGAGTCCAGGGGTTTAACACCAGCCTGGACAACTTGGTGAAACCTCATCTCCACAATTAAAAAAAAAAAAATTAGCTGAGCGTGGTGGTGCATGCCTGTAGTTTCAGCTGCTTGGGAGGCTGAGGTGGAAGGATCACCTGAGCCCAACAGATCGAGGTTTCCATAGCCATGAGCATGCCACTGCACTCCAGCCTGGGCAATAGTGAGACTGCTTCCCCCCCTAAAAAAATTTTTTTTTGTGTGTGTGTTTTTGAAGGGCATTCCTTCTTAAGAATTAGGAAATAAAGATTGGAAGAAAAAGAATGAGATCCAATAGGCATAGCTTTTGCTAAAGTTAAAAACTGTAACACAACTACAAAGTGCTTCTATTAATCCTCTGAAATCTTTAGGGGAAAGCTATATGAGTTCTGAATTGGCTCCCCTTTCCATCACACTGGACAGCCCAATTATGATCATTCAGGTCGATAACACAACATCAAGTTATATCAGGTACTTTTCTACCTAATCCTTTTCAAGGACAAGTAAATCATCTAAGCAACTATTACTTATGCACTTAGTTATAG